AAGATTTGGGTATCTAAATTACCGGAGAACACATGCCGTCGAATGGCATGTGTATGTAGATTGAACGAGTCAATCTCAAAGTAGACCCAGTTCAACACGAACGTCTGCACCAAACCCAGCACCGCCTTCCCAAAGAACGCATTGATCCCCATCGCCACACTACTCTGGTACAGCAAGCCCAACACGCAAGAGCCAAATACCAGCGTAACAAACGCATTCGTCCGCTCAATCCGATGCTCAATGTTCGTCGCGGGATAGAACTCCAGACTCGTCTTCCACGACTCAGGTACGAACGGCGTGATGGGCGACCCCGGCCGCTGAAGCAACACCATGGCAAACTGACCAAAGAGATCAAACAGAATAGCCACCCAAATAAGTCCCTGTCGCTTCGGTTCCTCCATACTCACGCTCGCCATCCAAAGCGCCGCTGGGATCAAAGAGAGTAACGCATTCCCCAACATACTTCCCCTCACCATGGGAATGCACCATGCGTACCAAAACCAACAGCTCGTCAGAAACAGTCTCGCCGCGAGATAGAACCCCACAAGCGGCGCATACGTCCTCTCCCACGCCTCAACCATGTTCGTCGTAAAGCCCAGCAAACACGTTAGCAGAAAGAGCACAGATACCCGCCTGATCACGTCGTCGCTATCGAACCACGACACCAGCACCCCGATATCCGTCCAGAACTTCCAGCCCATGATGAAGGTGATTGCGAAACGAAGCAAGGACTGCGCGGTGGGCTGTTCAGCTGCGGAATCGCCTGTTATGGCAATAATGCCCACGTAGAAGAGGTCAATGAAGAGTTCGTAGCTAGCTACCTCCTGTGCCTCTTTTGCGCGCCACAGCAGGCCCTTGTGGAAGTACTGTCGTACGATGGGCTTTTGGTAGAAGTGGATTGCTGTACCGCGCTGACGATCAGAGTGCCATGTTTCCTTGTCAAAGGAGGAGTCGGTGAGGGAGTCTGATGATGGGCTGTCTTCCTTGGTGCGTAGATGGGCTGAGTAACCGTATTTGGAGAAGTTGGCGTCGAGTTGCACGGCGTGGGAGGTTAGCATGTGGAGTTCGGTGGAAAGCGTGTCGAGGTCGCGGATTACGCGCTCGAATTCTTGGGCTAGGTCGCCGTGGTCGAGGTGCAGTTGGCGGTGGTGTGCGGTGTGGTGGGCGTGGGTGTGGCGGAGTGCTTCGATCTGTGTGCGTTAGTAGGGCGATTGTTCCATGCCCTGGCTCTCTCTTCCTTGTGTAGAACTAACATGTTCGGGAGATCCATGGATGACTAGGTCGAAGTCCTTTTTCTCGCTCGCATTGCTCAGCTTCCTCCTTATGTGATTTGCCTCATCGGGTGAGCTTGCAATGTGCACCTTTCTTCCATCTGGACTCAGAAAGTGTTTCAGCCTCTTGCCTGTGTGGTGACCAATGTGTGCATGATGGTGCTGGTGAGGGTCATGCTGTGCGCTTGTTGTCGTGCTTGTTGGATCGTCCATGTTAGCAGCCGGCATGTGCGGGATACCGGTCATTTTGCTCGTCACGAAGTAGAAGAAGGCGCAGATAACTGGGAGAGATAAAGAGAGGATCCCAGATATGCTAAATAACCTATGCAATGCAAGTACCGACGCTGTCTCGTTGGGTCGAAAGTGCGGTGGCTTGCCTCTACCCGGGCTAGCGCCTACCCGATTGGTCGAGATGGAAAGTCAAGAGCGTGAATAAGCAGCTACAACACCTGGGTAAGCTGCGGGGCGGAAGCTGGAGTTCAGCTTATGTCGTTTCATGAAACGACAGCTCCAAGATATAGCAGGATTGCTTGTGTGAGACAGGCTGCTTTGGTTCCTTGGTTCCTGACTGATGAGGAAGGAGCGAGAAATGCCTACGAAGTCTGACTGCAAGGAGAGGCTCTTCAGCTTTCTGTATGATCCTGCGTAGATGAGTCAGAAATCAAGCATTGTGATGGCTTTTGCCCAGACAGCTAGGTCGGAAAGACAACATGAAGCGATAGGAACATGCGCATGCGGACACCGCTAGCAGTCGCCGGATGTCTGGTTCTGTGAGAATCCTCCTGCTCATGCTGGAGACTGCGTGGGAGGCCTTCATGGAGCGGACAAGTCGTTGCAGTCTATGCGTTTCCTCTATAAGTCAAGAACACAGTCCTGGCTTGATGATAGTATATATTGCTCGCTGCCGATATAGGCATACTCTGTGTCGAAGGACCTGAGCGCTTCGCTGTCCTCCGAGACCCTGTGTGTCCGCTGTCTACCGTTTCTTCGTCTGCCCCGCAGGACTCTGTGTACGTGCGCTCGCGCTGCCTGAGTCGGTCTTACCGGCCATCCACGAGGCGAGGTCAAAGTTCTGTAACTGCGATGCAGTGTTGGTGTTTCCGGAGCCCAGGACGCCGTTCTTCTTCATCTCCTCGAATTCCTCTTTCATCTCGGGGTCCACTACGCATGTGTCAGTAACCTTGGCTGTACCTAGCAGGCTGCCGAGAGACTTACTGTTCTCCATCAATTTGGGCATACCGAAGATGAGACCCATGGACACTATCGCCATGAGAATCATAGGGTTCTTCAGGAATGACAGCGGCGAAACTGCGGCGTGTTAGCACAATCTCCCAATTGCGCATTGTCGTGATGCCAACTTACAGCCTTGCCTCTCTTGGTAGAAGTACTTGGTTCCCACCGGCCTGGCTTCAACCACCAGACCGCTACCGCCCTCGCCGCGGCTCTCTCCCTTGTTGTCCCATTCGTTGCCCAGGAAGGTCTGGTATGCCCTGATCATCTCCTTCTTCTCCCCGCTGCCCTCTGCCGCCTCCTCCACGGTGACATCAATCCTCAGTGGCTCGAACGCATAGTCGCGGCAATGCACGGTAGCAAGATAGCTTCCGGCGCTCACATTGTTGAAGTTGAACGTGTTGGAGCGCGTGAGATAGGCATCAAGGGGCGGGCCGGAGGACTGGAGCGTTGCGTGCGTGGTCGAGGGGAGCGTGGACGGATTGACAAGGACCGTGTTCGGGATTTGCAGCAGCAGACGTGCAGCGTTTGTGAGCGTCGCAAAGGACGAGAGGGTGGCGAGTGACGTCTTCATCGTGGCTTGGGTTGAGCGGGTCGTGAGGTTGATGATATCGCTCTGGTGGGCGATGCTTGATGCGCGAGAACGCACGGGCCTACTCAGACATACCACCTAGGCCAGTACTACTTCGTACTTCACTTTCCGCTCGGCTATCCCTAATGTCCGAATCAGAACAACAATATGTCGAGAGCCAGGATGCTGATCAGACCTTGAACCTAAATTCTGAGCGGCCGACATTACCTAGGTACCTAGGTATCGTAGTACTGGTAGTAGGAGAAGTCAAGAGGAACAGCATCACGTAATGGTGAGATGTTGAGCTACCAAGACGAGGAAGTAGCGCGGTTAGCTTCATTTGTTACATTGCACTGGTACCTGAGTAGTATACATTGAGATATGCTGCCTCCCACTCCCTCCTTCGAACTCGTTGGCTCACTCATTCTCACTTTGCCTCGGATCCACTAGACTGAGGCGCGCTCTCACTTTGCTGCCTGGAATTTATGCCCTGAAGACGTCATAGGGATGGGCTCATGCGTCCGCCACTGGACATATATTGTGCCCGCCCAGCTACTTCTTTCTTCTAACCCACCCACACGCCTAACTACCGCCGTCGACGGTCTCTTTAGAGCAACGAACCTTCAACAGCTTCGGAAGTATCTTACACGCCTGGTACTGCTCGATGACCTTGGTATTGGACTCTTGACGACGGCAGTTTAGCGCCGTGGTTTCTTCCTTTCTCTTATCCGCAACCCCATCCTATCGCTGCCGAGAGTCTTCGTAGGGTTCTCCTTTCACACCACTCGTCCGTTTAAATGGGCACTTTAACAGTGCCAGGGAGAATTCTTTCCGGTTCTAAGGCGGGGGTTAGCTTCTGCTGTTTGAACAGCCGGGTCAAAAGCTATTCTCTACTACCGTCTTGAGGTGGGGGTCTCTTGTCAGCGATAGTATGGTGTTGCGTCCTCTCTTCCTTGGTTCGCACTGGAGACATCCATACTTGCCAGGTAGAACAGGCCGTTCTACTCTCATCTACCGGCGAGGTGTCCAGGTGCGAGCTGAGGATCGATAGGTCCCTTGCTCACGATCATCTCCGCCAACTCCAGGTATGTTGTCCCTACTAATCAGTGGGCGAGAACCAGGTTCCTTCGGCGTGAGCAACGGACCTCGGCGGAAGTCCCCGCGGGGGGCTACAATTTTTCATTTCATTGACATGATCACCTTGCGTGGTCAGTTGAGGAAGAGAGTCGTGGCGGGCCTCGGCTGTATGCGTAGTTGCTCGTTCGGAGATAGCCTGCGTATCCAGATACTGAATTTGATTCGCTTATCGGGACATCTTTCCTGGACAAGCTCATCGTTTCACAGATGGGTGTCTGGAGAAGAGACGGGACGTCGCGTACCTACCTAGATAGCTTCCAGCCCCGGATTTTGGGCGGCAATCGCACCCGCCAAGCTTCTAAGCTTCCCCGCCCCATCAAGTTCGAGAACCACTGTCGCGACCAACGTCTGCCATAATCTACCTCACCTCCAAGCCGACTCTGCAGCGATGTTCACACTGAGAACATCACCGTCCAAGTACCACGTAGGGAGTAGCCGGTGGGTGAATACGAATACTTATAACCTAGCCTGCTGATCGTTTTGCATGTGGCAACTGTTGAGGGGAAGAGGACTACTACGCAGAGTTGAGGCACGCTGTGGTATCCAAGGAGCGTCGGCTTATCGCGAGGAACGTCAAAAATACCATGCGTTGATGAGCATGAAGATAAGAAGAATCAATTTGCGTACTGGTACAAAAAGGCAAAGCCCAAACAATGAAAAGACACCTTGACTACTACACCCGTCGCCAGAACAGTCCAGTCAACAGTAACGGACTCCTTCCTTCGCGAAAAGAATCAGATAGTCCCGCACTGACACCCGGGATGCACAAACGAGGTCGAATCCTTATCTCCTCAAACCCACACCCTCACTACGTCGACCTTTGAACAAGTAGGATTTTGCGGCTCGCCCACAAAACCTATCTTCCATGCCAGCGACCGCCACGTGTCGTCATACCTCATAGTACACATGTACCAATTCTTGACCTTTTTCGGTGGATGAACCCAATCAGGGGCCTTGCCAGTATCATCTTTGGCGATTGTAATGTACATGCTAGCGCTGCCGTCTTCGAACCACACCAGTTGGTATGTGTCGGTCCAGGGCGTGAGGGCAATGTTCACGAGATTGGTCCCAGCTTCGTACTCGAAGCGCATTGCGGACGGAACGGGATCGACGCGACCGTAAAGACTCATGGGCCAGTTGAGGATACCCTCGGCGTCGTAGGAGGATACGTTGTGGTAGAAGGTAGTGTAGGGACGTGCAGGGGTGGCGGTCGTATCGTTGGTTAGGCATAGGCCCTCGTAGGCTGCGGACCAATGGCAAGCTCCGAGTGCGTGGCTGCTATCTGTCAGGATGAGGAAAAGAGCTGAAGGGTGGTGATATGTACTCATTGAGGTCATTGTCGGTTGATTTGAGGATAAGACGGAAGCCATTGGACTGGTGCTCGAACCCACTCTGGGCGATCGTGACCGTCTGGGCTAGCAGAGTTGCGAGAGCTAAGGTAAAGAACTTCATGGCGTGCTAAGCTTGTGGATGCTGGAAGGATGTGTTCGGAGTTGATTAACAAGCTTGTGGGCGTTGATGATGGAATGCAGAAAGGGAACAGAAAACGGAGGCACGGTGCAGCTTTTGTACGGCATTAATGACGGGTACTTTCCCAGAAAGTGCGGACATAGATCGTACGAGCTGTGCGAACTTGAGGAAGTGGCTTTGACACAATATGTTTGTATGGCAGGAACTAACGTTGCAGCTTCTTACCCTTCTACGTCAATCAAGAAAAAGGCTAAATAGGCCTGCAGCCTACATTAATATAGAAGCATACAAAGTAGTCAACCTAGCGTTCATGTAGGCTCTGCACCTGTTTAGTTTTTTTCTCCCTTGTGTAAGGTGCTTCAATCGTCTTTCGTGAACTCCGAATGCTGCCGCCACTTCTCCCCAAACTTGAAGATGCATAACGGGATGATGACCAAACACAAGCTCAGTGCGCCCAAAAGAGTGAAGCCCAGCCCATAACCAAGTGCGTCAGACAATGGACCGGTCGTGAGTGGCAGGAAGGTGCCCATAAGGCATCGCGTGACGATGACGCCCGTCATAGCCGATGCGGAGTACATACCGCAAGCGTCAACGACGTAAGCAGATAACGGTATAACAGTCAGAAGGAGCGAGAACCCCATCAGGGCCACCGAGGCGAGAAGCAGGAGTACAGGCAAACGGTATTCTGCGATCCAGCCGTATGCGATTACCGAGAAAGGCAAGAGGATCGCACCCAGGATAGAAAGAGGAAGGCGGTACTCAGGTTTTCCTTTTTCGCCGTCGGGCCCGCGGAGCTTGACGTATATCCTATCGAGCGTAAAGTTGCATACTAGTACACTGCAGAAAGATCCGACGCCTAGATATCTGTTAGCTGCCGTGAGTTCAGGCATATCAAGATACTTACTGAACGAGATGAAAGTGTAACCAATCTGGCCGAACTCGAAGTCATACCTGTCCAGCAAGATCGAGGGTAATGAAACGCTGACAACGTAAAAGAAGCTGAACGCGACCGAGGCAAATAGCGAGAGAAGCATGAGTACGCTCGAACCGAACAACACCGCAAAAGGCCTGGTGATAGAGTGCCAGAGCTTTGCTAGATACTCATGCGTGCTCTTCGACTCCGGAACCTTTCCAGTTTCCTGCATCGTCTTCGCTGCTCTTCTTCTCAAGACAGCCATCTTGTACGTCTCTCTGAAGTAGACGAGGAACAGAACTTCGCACACGATAGCTAGTCCGGCGGCGATGGTCAACATGCGTCGCCACCCTATCGTCTCTGCGATGGCGCCAGAGATGGCAGGGCCGATAGCTCCTCCAATGAGCGGCGCAAGCATAACCAAAGACATTGCGGAGCCGCGTTGCTCGCTCTCGAAGATGTCTCCGATAATCGCTGGATTGAGGACGTTCGAAGCGACGCAAAGACCTGTGAGCATCCTCGCAGCAATGAACATGCCGCTGTTCTGGCTGCAAACTGCTAGGATAGTCGCAGCGATGAAGCCGATGTTACAAACGTTGAAGACAGGATAGCGTCCAAAAATCTCTGATAACGGTGCGATAAGTAATGGACCAGCGGCTTCTCCAAGTTCCCAGATAGTCACGAGGAGCGCGCTGTTTGCAGAGCTCGATTGCTTCCCATCGAGATCCGAGACGATTTTGCTGGCGACCGGTACCACGCCAATGCAAGTAAAGGTTCTGTAGACATGGTCAGCGTCGAAGTTCTCCTGACAATTGGAGTGCTGGGAGAATATGCATACACGGTGAACGCCATAAGAGCAAGCAACAAAACGATACCCCATTTGAAACCTGGCGACCAATTGCGAGGGTCCTCAGGGTCCAGAGGCTCAAAATCAAGCGCGTCATTTCCAGCTTCCTCGGCATCATTCTCTTGTTGGACGCTTTCGTAGTCATGCGATATTATTCTGAGCAGTGGTTGCTCTTCGTCCGTGAGCACCATTGTGGCTTTGTTTTCACGGAAGGATTCCTCTAAAAATATTCAAGATGGGATGATTGCGAAGCACCGAGGTTTACAGGACCCAGGAACTTTTTCACGGGATGAGCGCGGCGGATTGTGACTAATGAACGCCCTAGGGCGTGTTTGGGTATGGGGTAAGCTTTAGCGTCGCTCAACTGCGGTGGGTGAGGAGCTGGCATCTGTTGAGCCGTCAAAGTCCGTGCAGCATGCATGCTTCCAGCCTCGTATGCAAAGTAAGATGATTGGTCGGTGTAGCATCGTTCCGACGTTCGATCTGTATTGGAATAATATTTTGTCGTCTTTACTATTCATCTACGGCTGTTCTCAAATCCGCTGTGTTGCACGCCACCTTATTATACAAGGTTGAAACTAAACAGGTGCGCTGAAGTCTACATTACAACGTAAACATAAGTTTTAAGAAGTATTAAGGCAATGTAGCCTTATAGCCATTCTTCTCACTCGCGAAGAGCTGAACAAGCAAGTCTTCGGCGATGTTCGTTCAGACTGTACATCTGAGAACACCCTCTTACAACCACCACAAGTCAGCCTAGCAGTTCGTGCAGCATCCCGCTTTGGCTTGCACGCAACCTCTAAAGCTTGATGCCTATCCAACCCTCTCTTATCCCCAAAGAGTTTTCCACAATCTTTACAGGTGTACTGTGCAGAATCCTTTGCTTCCTTGTCCCTTCCACGTCGGTACTTCCGGATGTGATCTCGGTTTGCGTCTTCCCCACTCTCCCTTTTGTATTCTTCTTTCCTCTTTATGGTCTTCTCCCCAGACCTTCGCGGCAGCTTGAAGATGTCTTTGTGGGTTGCTTTGTAGATGTCTTGCTTCTTCTTGTTTCCTTCTGCACGCTCACGTAGAAGCTCAGCGATCTGCTCAAGCCCGATCTGTTCCAGGCTCCTACTCTGCATCATACAGCTGTGGCCGTTTGCACCATCGTACTCCTGCTCACTCCTCTTCCAGAGTGCAAGACGTTCACAGTTCTTCCAGGTACCGACTATAGTCCAGAGTCGAAAGGTCAATGTGTGCTCGACAGCAAGCACCAGTGTCTGGTCAACCCCTAGATACGCTTGTACATCGAGCTATTCCGGTAACGTCAACCTAGGGGACAAACTGGACAGGCCGCAACCTACGTTTTTGTGGTTACAGCCTACATCAACATAAAAACATGCAAAGTAGGTAGCCTCACGTCAGTGTAGGCTCTAGGCATGTTCGACTTTTTTCTTTGTATGATATGGTATCTGTCTGGCTATCGCATCCCGTTTCAACCATAGTTTGCTCACGGCCCGTAGCCGGCAAAAGAATCATGTGTACCGTGTACTTTACTATATATCACTCTCGCGGATATGCGCCGATGGCGAACATCATGGACAAGATGTCGATTGGTTCCAGATCCCGAGCCACCTGAAACCACAGCTCCATAGGCATCCGATCGAGACCTTGCGGTAGGGGTCGTCTTCTGTTGCTTGTATTCGAGGCTCTATCCACACGTACTATGCTGAAGTAGGTGTGCGCACTAAGCTCCGGGGCGATCCGATGCCGCTGCAGGGTAGGATAGATGGCTAGAGCAAGGTTCATAATACTACCGACACCCGCATAGTTGATTATCATGAGGAGCAGTTCGGCGGGAAGGAGATTGAACAATCTGTCGCACGTGTCATCGCTGGAAGGAGGCTTGTGCGGTGGCGGCGGCGGCGGAGGAGGTGGTGGAGGAGGAGGCGCTGCAGACGACATTGTTGCTGCACGCCAACCTAGGAAAAAAAACTGAACAGCCTGGAGCCTACGTTGACGTTGGGTCACCTACTTTGCAAGGTTTCTGAGTCAATGTAGTCTGCAGACCTGTTCAGTTTCTTTCTTATATGAGCTGGTTGCGTGAACGTGGACGGCAAGCGTGTATGTGGTATGTCCAACAAACTGACGCTTGCTCAATCGGTATGCGGTTTGTTGGGTGAGTCTGCAGCGACAGACAGTAGCCAGCGGTAGATGTAGCCTGAGAGAAACCAGGCTCCTACACCGACCGCGGTGATGTATATCGCGATTGGGCCAAGTGATTGCGGGAAGACGTTCAGTATGAAGGGATCGAGTACTGTGGTTGTTAGACGACGCATGACACATTAGTGAGATGAGACGTACTGATGTCGGCATCAACTGGAGGCGGGTAGTCCATCAATGTGCGATTGGTCGAATAGTAGGACGCTGCAGCCTGGAGGCGCAACAACAGTACCGACTCTGGGGCTGCAGGCGGCGCTTCCTTGGTGTTTCCGTCGTCGTCCACTGGGTCGCGTCGAATGACTGAGCTATACTCTGATAACGAGGATATCAATTCGGGAGTATCAAATACGTGGGTGACTGAGTAGGTGTCGAGCCAGAAGTCGGTGGGTTGCTGGGCACGTCAGTACAAACAATCAGGTGAGACAATGCACGCGATATGCAACGGGAAGGAGCAGTAGACTCACAGTGGCCGGCCAGCAGATGCGCACCTCGTACCTCCTGCCGCCTTGCAGGCCGCGAAGCAGGTACCAGGACTCGAGACCGTGGGGCAGCGACTCGGTGGGAAACTGTACAGGGACTCGGATCGGGAGGATGGTGGACGAGGGCGACAGGTGGTGCAGGCCGAGGTCATCTAGCCCGGGGCGGACATTGGAGAGAGTCACAGGGCTGGGACCAAGGAATATCGTCTTCTCGACGTTGGCATTCACCGTCCAGGCCTGTGTGACGATGCAGAGCAGCCCGGCGGAGAGGCGCATCTTTGGCGGACAGCACGTGAGGATGAGGGAGAGTTGAGAGGGCAGCAATTCATGGTCTCTCACGTCGGCCAGCGCAGCGCCATGGGCAGACAGAGGAGCGGCAGGCTTGAATTCGTCCGATGAGGTCGTGTTTCTCGCGCAACGGCCAGGCAGCTGCATTGGACGTGTAGCTTAGCGCCGTGGTCCGTGATAGGCGGACCCTTTTGGTCTAAAAGTTCGATTCCACAACACAACAGCACTTCTCCCCCACTGCTCCACTCCC